TAGTCCTAGCTACTCAAGAGGCTGAGGCAAGAGAATCGCCTAAGCCCAGGAGTTGGAGGTTGCTGTGAGCTGTGGTGCCACATCACTCTACCGAGGGCGATAAAGTGAGACTCTGTCTCTAAAAAAAAAAGAAGTGTAGGTATAGAAGGGACATCCGGGCTTGGTGCCTGTGGCTCAAGTGGCTATGGCGCCAGACACATACATCTAAGGTGGCGGGTTGGAATCCAGCTTGGGCCTGCCAAACAACAATGACAGCTGCAACCAAAAAATAGCCGGGCATTGTGTTGGGTGCCTGTGGTCTCAGCTACTTGGGAGGCAGAGGCAGGAGACTCACTTGAGCGCAAGAGTTGGAGGTTGCTGTGAGCTGTGATGCCATAGCACTCTACCTAGGAGGACAGCTTGAGGCTCTGTCTCAAAAAAAAAAAAAAAGAAAAGAAAAGAAAAGAAAAGAAGGGACATCCCCCCAGTCATGGGAGTTGTTCAGAATATTCCATACTTCATTAGACAGAAATGGAAGCAAGAACCTGAGGATATGGTAAGGAAAAGGGTCTAGTCTTTAACAGAGCTTAGCAAAGGTTGTTGAGAATTAAAACAACAAGATGGAAAGACTATTTGGTTCAGGGTACTGAAACTATGATAATAATCACCCGTCACTGGTGCCAGGACTTGATCCAGAGAACTCAAGGTCAAGGCAGTTGGGCTTTCCATGAAACACCAGTGCTGTCAGGTTTATAGGCAGCTGTCTGCATCCTAAAATGTTGGGGTTTCAGGCAGCTATCTGTGTCTTTGGTTCTTGGGGGTGCCCTTGGCTGAAGAACAACCAGACATCGCAAAGTAAGGCAAGTATGAAAGAAAGTGTATTGAGGAAGAGAAACATAGATTTACAGAGTAACAGCAAGGTATAGGCTTGTAGAGCAAGATGCATTCATAACACACAACAAACCAGCCTCTGTTACCACAATAAAAGGCCTTGGATCCTAGCACTCTGGGAGGCTGAAGAGGAAAGATCACTTGACCTCAGCAGTTCAATACCAGCCTGGGCAAGAGTGAGACCCCACATCTCTTCTAAAAACAGTAAAAATTAGACAGGTATTGTGGCACATACTTGTAGTCCCAGCTTCTTGGGAGACTGAGACAGATAACTTGAAACAAGAGTTTGAGGTTGCTGTGAGCTAGGCTGATGCTGTAGTACTCTAGTCTGCACAACCGAGTGACACTCTGTCTCAAAATAAAAGAAAAGAAAGGACTTGGTTGCAGCTGGGGGTTTTGTTTTATACTGTCTGGGTTGGGCCTACCTTGGAACCGGAGTCTTACTGCTCAAGGCATGCGGACCTCTCAGGAGCCTCTCTGAAAGCCTAGTGAGGGTGTGTGGACTGCAATGTAGATTTAAGCTAACAATGTGATAATTAGCCTTAAGGCTGTTCTAAGTCACCTTGAAGGCACTATTGTACCTATCCACCCAGCAGTTCCTCAGTTTGATTCTCCCATGGAGCTTTTTCATTCTGT